TCAATTTGAGGCTCTGGATCCTGACTACAGGTTCCTGCTAATGCAGACCCTGGGAGGGAGCAGTGATGGTTCAAGTAATTAGGACCCTGCCACCCACATGGGAGACCTGGATTGATTTCCCAGCTACTGGCTTCAGCCTGGCCCAGTGCTACCCATTGTAGCCATTTGGAATATGAACCAGCAGGTGGGAGCTTGCTCACTCACTCTCTTTCTCTCATAAGTAAATATAACTTAAAAACAAAAACAGGACTGGCATTTGTCAAACAAGTTAAGCTGCCACCTGGGACAATCACATCTCATATCAGAATGTCTGTTTTGAGTCCCAGTTCCATTCTCCATTCCAGTTTCCAGTTATTGCACACCTTGGGAGGTACCAGATGATGGCTCAAGTACTCAAGTCCCTGCTACCCATGTGGGAGATCCAGACTGAGTTCCCAACTCCTGTAGTTGGCCTGGCCCAGTCCTTGCTGCTATAAACATTTGAAAAGTAAAGCAGCAGATAGGAGATCTCTCTCTCTGTTTCTCTGCCTTTCAAATAAGTAAAACAAATATTTAAATATTTTTATAAAGAAATAGAAGAGGAAACAATTCCTAGCTCATTCAATAAGACCAGTATTAACCTGATGCTACAACCAAAGATATTACAAGAAAAAAGTACAGATAAATAGCTCTTACAAATATAGATTCAAAAATCCTGAACAAAACACCAGCAAACCAAATTCAACAACAGTCTAAAGGAATTACATACAAGGACCAAGTTGGAAGTATCCCAGGAATATATAGGTAGTTCAACATAAGAAAATTAACCAATGTATTACATCACATCAATAAAATGAAGGAAAAAGAAACACAAAATTACCATAAATGATGCAGAAAAATCATTTGACAAAATCCAATACTCTCATGATGAAACCATACAGAAAACTGAGACTAGAAGGAAACATCCCCAACATGACACAAGGAATTTATGAAAAAAATCACAACTAACATCAAACTCAATGGTGAAAGACTGAAAACTTTCCCTCTAAGATCAGAGATAAGAAAAACATGCCAATTTCAACACTGCTATTTAATATCGTGCTGGAAGTACTAGCCAGAGAAATTAGGCAAGAAAAAGAAACAAAAGGTATCCATTTCAGAAGAGAGGAAATAGGGGCAGGTGTTCAGCCTAGCAATTAATACGCCTGCATCCCGTATTGGAGTGCCTGGATTCAAGTCATGGCTCCACTTCTGATTCCAGCTTCTTGCTACTGTAGACCCAGGGAGGCAGCAGGTGATAGCTCAAGTAGTTGGCTCTCTGCTACCCATGTGGGGAAACATGGATTGAGTTCCCAACTCTCAGCTTCACCCTGGCCCAGCCCTGGCTGTTGCAGGTATTTGGGGAGTGAACCAATAAATGGGAGCTGTGTGTGTGTGTGTGTGTGTGTGTGTCTGCTTCTCAAATAAATGAATGAATGAATTTTTTTAAAAAGGAAGCAGTTAAACTATCTCCATTTACAGATAACATGACCTTGTATATGGAATATACCAAAGAATCTACATACACACAAAAACTACTAGAGTTAATAAGTCTATTCAGCAAAGTTGCAAAATAAAAAATCAACATTAAAACAATGAATAATCCGAAAAGGAATTAAGAAAGCAATTTTTTTACAACATCTAATGAAAGAATAAAAATCCCTAATAATAAATTTAACAAGATGGTGAAAGATTTGAAAGATTCTACTGAAAACTACAAAACATTGCTGAAATCAAAGAAGGCACAAATAAATGGAAAGACATCCTATGCTCATGGATTGGAAGATTTACTATAATCAAGATGGCAATCCCTCCCAAAATGATCTACCTATTCAGTGCAATCCCTATCAGGATCTCAAAAGGCTCTTTTGAAGAAATGGAAAATCTGATCCACAAAGTCATTGCAAGGAGCTCCAAATAGCCAGAAAAATATTGAAAAGAAACAAAACTGAAGGATTCATTTTTCCCCATTTAAAAATATACTATAAAACTAGCATAATCAAGACAGTGTGGCACTGGCATAAAGACAGACACAAAGACCAATAGAATAAAATTGAGACTCCAAAAACAAAGCCCATATATCTATGACATATTGATATTTGGCATGGGTGCCATGACCAATCAGTGGAGGAAAGAACAGTTTCTTCAAAAATGGTATTGTAATACCTGCATGTGCAAAGAATTAAGTTTGATCCCTACCTTAAACCATATGTAGAAATTAACTCAAAATGGCTTATAGGGGGCCAATGCTGTAGTGTAGCAGGTAAAGCCACCGCCTACAATGCTGGCATCCCATATGGGAACAGGTTTGAGTCCTGCCTGCTCCACTTCTGATCCAGCCCTTTGCTATAGCCTGAAGAAGCAGTAGAAGATGGCCCAAGTCCCTGGGCCCCTGTACTCATGTGGGAGACCCAGAGGAAGCTCCTGGCTCCTGGTTTCGGATCAGTACAGCTCCAGCCATTGCAGCCAACTGGGGAGTGAACCAGTGGATGGAGGACTCGTCCCCCCCACCCTGCCTCTCCTCCTCTCTCTGTGTAATTGACTTTCAAATAGATAAATCTTCTTTTAAAAAAATGGCTTATAGACCTAAATGTAAGATCTAAAACTATAAAACTCTCAGGAGAAACCATGAAGAGTGGAGGTGGCATTTGGCATGGCAGTTAGGATGCCACTTGGGGTACTCATATCCCCTATGGAAGTGCTAGGGTTTGAGTCCTGGCTCCACTTCTGATTCTAGCTTCCTGCTAATGGGCACCCTGGGAGGCAGCAGGTGATAGCTGAAGTATTTGGGTCCCTCCCACCCACATGGGAGACCTAGATTGAGTTATGGGCTCCTGGCTTTGGCCTTGGCTATTTTGAGTATTTAGGGAGTGAACCAGCAGATGGAAGTTCTTTCTGTCTTTGTCTCTGTATTGCTCTTTCAAATAAAAAATATTTAAAAAGAAAACATAAGGATAAATCATCACAGTCTTGGATTTGGCAATAGATTCTTAGAAGTGACACCAAAAGCACAAGCAAACCAAAGGAAAAATATGAATAAATTGGACTTCACCAAAATTAAAAACTTTTGTGTATCAAAATACATTGTCAGGAAAGTAAAGAGATAACCTACAGAATGGGAGAAAATGTTTACAAATCTTCTATCTAGGGGCCAGTGTTTTGGTGTAGCAGGTTAAGCTACCTGCAATGCCAGCATCCCTTATGGATGCAGGTTCATGTCCTGGCTGCTCCACTTCCAATCCAGTTCCCTATTAATGTGCCTGAGAAAGCAGCAGAAGATAGCCCAAGTGCTTGGGCCCCTGCAGCCACGTGGAAGACCCAGACAAAGCTCCTGGCTCCCAGCTTAAGCCTGGCTCAGCCCTAGCCATTGCGAGTATTTGGGGAGTGAACCAGAGGATGGAAGACCTCTCTGTCTGTCTGTCTGTCTGTCTCTCTCTCTGCCTCTGTCTCTGCCTCTCTGTAACTCTGCCTTTCAAATAAATAAATAAATCACTTGACAAATCATCTATATAATCAGGAACTTATACACAGAATGAACTCTTAAAATTCAATAATAAAAAGGGGCCAATGCTGTGGTGTAGTGGGTAAAGCTGCCGCCTGCAGTGCCAGCATCCCATATGGGAACAGGTTTGAGTCCTGCCTGCTCTACTTCCGATCCAGCTCTCTGCTATAGCCTGGGAAAGCAGTAGAAGATGGCCCAAGTCCTTGGGCCCTTGTACCCTCATGGGAGATCCAGAAGAAGCTCCTGGCTCCTGGCTTTGGATCTACTCAGCTCCAACCATTGCAGCCATTTGGGGAGTGAACCAGCAGATGGAAGACTTCTCTCTTTCTCTGCCTCTGCCTCTGCCTCTCTGTAACTCTGCTTTCAAGTAAAGTAAATAAATCTTTAAAAAAAAAACTCTATGAGTTTAAAAAAACTCAATAATAAAAAGACAACCTGATTTTAAAGTGGGCATAGGATCTACATAGACATTTCTGCAAAGAATGTATACAAATAGCCAATAATTGCATGAAATGATGCTCAAAGTCATTAGTTGTCAGGGAAATGCAAGTCAAAACCATCATGAGGAAATCACTTTGTATACAACAGAATAGCTATATTAAAAATAAAATAACAGTGTTGGCTTTAAAAAAGTAGAAAAACTGGAACACTCATACGTTGTTGGTGAGAATGTAAAATGATGTTGTCACTGTAGAAAGCTTTTTAGCAGTTATTCAAAAAGTTAAAGATGGAGTTACCCTAAGACCCCACAATTACACTCTGGGTGTGTGTACAAGAGAACTGAGGAGATGTATTCATACAAAAATGTGTACATGAATGGTCACAGAAGCACTGTTCATAAAAGCCAAAAGATGGAAACAATCCAAGGATTCATCCACTGATAAATAGAATGTAGTATACACTGGAATATTATTCAGTCATAAAAAACATAAAATAATAACACATGATATAACATGGATGAACCTCAAAAACACTATATTAAGTGAAAGAAGCCAAACATAAATGGCCACATATTATATAATTTCATTTATATGAAATATCCAGCATAGGCAAATTCATAGAAACAGAAAGTAGAAAAGTGGCTGACCAGGGTAGGGGAAGAAGGAATGGTAATGTGTATAATTTTTCTTTCTGAGGTGATGGACATGTTCTAGAATTAGATATTGGTGACGGTTGCACAGCCTGGTGACTGTACTAAAACTCACTGAATTGTACACTTTAAAATGGTGAATTCTATGGTATGTGAATTCTATCTTGGAAAAAGCAAAGGAACATTATAAGCCTATAGATGGAGGGGAGGTTGCCATGCACCCAAGGAGAGTGTTATTTAATAGGTTAAGCAAAGCAGAGGGTAAATCACATGGTGTGAAACATTTTCCCAAGGAAATGCATTTCTGCTGCAGTATTTTCATTCACTTAGTCAACAGTCACTGGGCACCTGTTATGCCAAAGAATCAGGGTAGCTTCGGCTTCCACTTGCCTGTTGTTTCTTGAAGGCCTCAATAAGTAAATCGATATCAGGAAAACTGAGAGGAAATTGCAGCCGAGGACCCTCATAGGAGTCTGGGACTTCTACCAATCCCACATAGTCCTGTCTGTCCTTGATATCCTGGACATTGCTTTCAAACAGTCGACTCGCCAACTCTGCAAGCAGAAAGACAGAAAGGTGGGGGAAGAGTGGGAATCAACACTTATGTGTAAGAACTATCTTCTTATATACCTAGCCCATGGAAGGCCTCATGAGAGGTGTTATGAATACCAAGATGGCCCACATCTACACGTGACAAGGGGTGATGGGTTCTGAGACTAGCAGCTACATTTCGTGGATCACTACTGTCCCTTCCAGGATCCACGCTGTACCACAGTGGTGAGTCCAGGACCAATGGGGAAGACAGGCGGAATCACAGTGAAACCTGGTCAAGTCAAGGTATTTTGAGCTCTAACTCCAATTTTTTTTTTTTTTACCCATTCTTACATCCAAGACTTTTACAAGTAAGACTGAAAACATAACAATGCACTGTATTTGGTTCAAACATCTGCTGCTATTCAGGATTTCCAGAAAATTAAACTGCAGTCTTCAATTTTTCCATGTTAAACACTTCAGAGAGTTTTACTTAGCTGTAATTGATTTGTTTCTCTCTACACAGAAAAATAAATTTTCTGACATGGTTTTCTTTTTTTCTTGGTAACAAAGCAGACAAAATTAAATGACAAACCACAGATAGATATACCTTAAGGGCTTCTGTGTCTCAGAGAGATATTGCTATTTAAGAGATTGCCTTCACCACCCATTTTAGTAGGTGCTGAGACCCAAGGTCTTTTCTTGCTAGATTGCCCAGGAAACGGCCCAAGAAGAGAAATCTAGATGATTTAAGTGGAGAAAGATGAAAGGAGATGGGACAGATGCTAGGTTAGCAGTTGTCAACCGAAGACATTTTTTTCATAATCTGGCTCTGTAACCCCAATCCTCCCAATCTGTAGCCATGTTCTTTTTAATGTGATTTTACAATTACTCTCCTTAAGAGTCTATTTTTTTCCCTTTCCTTCCCTTCAAGCTGAGCTGGGCTCATGACTTGTATTTGCCTAAGGAATGTGGTGAAAATGACATACACCTGCTCCAGGCCAGGTTTCAGGAGGCCTTGTATGCTTCTACACACTCTTTTGAAACTGTGCCACTCCCATAAATCCCAGGCTTGCCTACTGAAAGACCCAACCCCAGTGGAACAGAGCTGAGTCATCCTAGCCAAGGCTGTCCCTGATCAGCCTGCAGGCAGCAGACCCTCAGACACATGAGTCAACCCCAGCCGACTGCCAAAGCAAGCCTGCCAACATCAGCAGAAGTAGTCAGCTAATCTGTAGAGCATAAAGAAATGCATAAAGAAATGTTTATCACATGCCACTGAGGTACTGTGGCTGTTTAATATGCAATATCATTGCAGTAACAGATAAGTGACTCAGAGGACAATGACAATACTTGGTAACTCTGATTTGCTACCAATGCCATTCATCAGAAGTCCTGTGCAGGCACCTTCCATCTTTTTGAATATTTAGAGTATTGATGTTTGGAAAGTATGATACTAGCAGGTGCAGACAGAATATATCTTTTTCATGATCTGGTTATATGACAAATTACAGTTATGAACTAAACTTGAAAAATTTCTAAAGCAAGTCAGAATAATTATTAGTTTTAAAAAATAATTTCTAAATTATTGTGTACATCAACTGTTGTTGGTGGACGTTGATACTGTTTCACAAGAAGTGGAATTTAGGAGTAATAATGTCTATCTTCGATGTGGTCCAGTGGAGACTATTATTCTCCTTAGGATTCAGTTTGAGATTTAAGAATATATTAATTATTTCAATATAGAAATTAGAAATGTAGAGCATCTTGATCAACTTTATCTCAGATTCATTATGTTGGGCTGTTTGTAATACCTCAATACTCAACTGCAGTAATCGTCATGCCACCCATTTCAATTTGATAGTCATTCTGGGTTTTTCCCAAGATTTATTTACTTTAATTGAAAGGTAGAATTACAGAGAGAGAGGGAGAGATCGAGAATTAAGAAGAGATCTTTCATCTTCTGGTTCACTCCTCCAGATAGCTGCAATAGCTGGGGCTGGGCCAGACTGAAGCCAGGAGTCAGGAACTCCATCTGGGTCTCCCACATAGGTGGAAGGGGCCAAAGTACTTGGGCCATCTTCCGCTGCCTTTCCAGGCACATTAGCAGGGAGCTGGATCTGAAGTGCAGCAGCCAGGACTTGAACCAGCGCCCATATGAGATGCCAATGTTGCAAGTGGCAGCTTAACCCTCTATGCCACAATATTGCCCCCCCCTTATTCTTTTTAATTTTTATTTACTTACTTGGCAGTCATTCTTGGGGATGAATCTTACACCAAAGGAAAAGTTTCCTTTTCTTGATTCTATACACTGAAATATCAAGCAACTTTTAGAAAAAAAAAAAAAAAAAAAAACAAAAAACAAAAAAACAAAACAAAGTAGGGACCTGTGTTGTGACACAGCAGGTTAAACTGCCACCACTTGTAGTGCTGGCATCCCATATGGGCACTGGATGGAGTCCCAACTACTGCACTTCAGATCCAGCTCCCTGCTAATGTGCCTAAGAAAAGCAGTGGAGGATGGCCCAGGTCCTTGGGCCCCCTGCCACCCATGTAGGAGTCCCAGAAGAAACTCCTGGCTCCTGGTTTCAGGTTGGCCCAGCCCTCACCATTACGGCCATTTGGGGAGTGAACCAGCAGATGGAAGATTGATCTTCACTCGCCCCTCCATCCTGCCCTCCATAACTCTGCCTTTCAAATAAATAAACAAAATATTTTTAAAAAAGACTAAAACTAAAATAAAACCGAGCACTTTTACGCATCATCTAACAGAGTTGTAAATGACTGGTTTCTGTCGCACACTCTGAGAAGCACAGCGCACGCGGAGCACACATGGTCAGAGCAGGGGTTTTGGTGTTCAGATGGGGAGGAATATGTATGGTGTGGCTGTATGTGGATGACAAAGGCTGTGTAGCTTTTGAAGCCCGCCTGACTTAGCTACTGGCAGGAAAGAGGAAAGGAAGTCAAGGACGTAGCTCAGCGTGTGAGGTTCTCTAAGGGATGCCCACTGCAGCCCTCTTCCAAGTGCTCAGAGGCCTGGCAACCTCACTCACCACTTCCTCTGTGGCCTCCATCTTCAGTGTGATCCTCTGCGCAGTTAAAGAGCTGAGGACGCCCCAGGTCTAAAATAGCACCCCGGTCCCCCCATCTGCAGATTTCCTCTTCCACCTTAGCACTCTGATATTTGTTATTTCAACTTTGGTGTCTCCACTGTTCCTGTTCCCTGGACTGTCTTTTCTGTCTCCTCTTTGGGTAATTTCTCCTCCTCCTTCAAAACTCCACAAAGCCACCCAGGTTGAGCCCCAAATTACATCTTTTCTATGGTGTCACACTGATAATGATGGCAAGGAGGTCGCTTACTTACTAAATGCTTATTGCCAGGCACTGTTCTAAGCTCTTGACACATATATATTCATGTAATGGTTCTAACTACGCTGTGAGGTAAATATTACAATTATCCCCCACTTTGTACATGAGGAGAATGAGGTACAATATGTAAATGGGAAGGAATTCAACCCCAGACAAGCTGCTTCCAAACCCACACTCATAATCACTGCATTATTGCTACACATTAAAACATAACTATTTCAGGGGCTGGTGCTGTGGCATAGCGGGTAAAGCCACCACCTGCAGTGCCAGCATCCTAAGTGGGAGCCGTTCAAATCCCAGCTGTTCCACTTCCAATCCAGCTCTCTGCTATGGCCTGGAAAAGCAGTAGAAGACGGCCCAAGTCCTTGGGTCCCTGCACCCGTGTGGGAGACCTGGAAGAATCTCCTGGCTCCTGGCAGCCATTTGAAGAGTGAGGAAGACTTCTTTCTCTCTCACTCTGCCTCTGCCTTTCTGTAATTCTGCCTTTCAAATAAATAAATAAATCTTTTTAAAAAAATAATTATGTCATACCATATAATATAGCATTATTTATATACTTAGAATGAGTTATCTCAATGTCGTTAGGTATAAACAACAAATGATTCTATTTTCCCAATCATTGCCTTCACCATGCTCTTTTTTAAATATAATTTTAAAAATTTTAACAGACATAAAAATTGTTACACATATGTGGGGTCCTATGTCATGTTTCATTGCATGTATACGTTGTGTAACATCCAATCAGGGTGAGTATATTTATCCTTTCAAACATCTAACATTTCTTTATAGTGAAAATGTCCAAAAATCCTATCTTGTAGGGTTTTTTAATAGAGCAAATATACAACAACCATGTTCTCTTAGCGCTCCCTTGCCCATTAGCTACCTGATATATCAAGCTAACATCAGTTCCAGTTATTTTTTTTAGATTATTTATTTATTTATTTATTTGACAGGTAGAGTTACAGACTGAGAGAGAGACAGAGAGAAAGGTCTTCCTTTTCCGTTGGTTCACCCCCGAAATGGCTGCTACAGCTGGCGCTGCGCCAATCCGAAGCCAGGAGCCAGGTGCTTCCTCCCGGTCTCCCACACGGATGCAGGAGCCCAAGCATTTGGGCCATCCTTCACTGTCTTCCCAGGCCACAGCAGAGAGCTGGATCAGTTCCAGTTATTAACACTAATACTTACTGTTGAAGAACAAAATTCAAATGCTGTTTTTCTTCTTTTAAAACCATAAGCTCAGTCTGGACTTTCCTTCTATAGATTTGCTGACCTTCATTCCTTAAAAGTTCAGTGATGAATACAAAGGTACTTCAAAAGGTTCGTGGACAGGGCCAAGCGTTGTAGCACAGTAGGTTAAGCCGTTGCTCATGACTCTGGCATCTCATCTCAGAGTGCTGCTTCAAGCCCTGGCTGTTCTGTTTCTGATCCAGGTTCCTGCTAATGCGTGTGGGGAGGTTGCAGATGACGGCCCAAGTACTTGGGCCCCTGCTACCCATGTGGGAACCCCAGATGGACTTCTGGCTCCTGGCTTCAGCCTGGCCCAGTTCTGGCCATTTCAACCATTTGAGGAGTGAGCCAGTAATTGGAAGACCTCTTTCTCTCCCTGTCATTGTGCCTTTCAAATAAATAGAATAAATCTTTAAAATAAACAAGG